AATATGTAGCTGTGAATTTGAGACACACACACACACACACACACACACACACACACACATTTTTTGTGTTTGTGTATCCTTTTGAATCAGAACCTTCAGCAGGTTTCCAGAGGTAGAAAATTGCATAGGAAGAAATTGCCCATCTTTTTCCTACAGAAAAGCTGGTAGACTCAAACCATAAACTTTTTTGTATTGGCAGCACAACTCCTTAACATTAAGCCTATATGTTACTATTATTTGTTATCAAGTTGAAATTGACTCATAGCTGACCTTCCAGCAGGTTTTCAGAGGCTGTAAATTGCATGAGAGTAGATTGCCCATCTTTTCCTGTGGCGCAGTGGTAGATTCAAATTGCCTGCCTTTGGGTTGGCAACACAATTTTTTACCCACTAGGCCACCAGAGTTCACCATATATGTATATACGTGTAATTGTATATATGTGTGTATTCTGTCAAGTCAGAACCATTGTTGTGTACCATCAATCTGACTCTCCAGCAGAGGAGATTGCCCATACTTCCTTCCCCCATGAAGCAGCTGGTGGATTGGAACTGCATACCTTTGAGTTTCCAGCACAACTCAAAACATATATACTTACATCCATATAGAGAGATACACATATAATTTTTTTTGCTCTTGCTTTGGTATATAGGGAATATAGGATTTATAGTAAAATACTATTAAATATACCTTCTTCATTGTCGTCTATAATTGAATCCATCTTCGATGAACACATTTTAAATCTATCCTGGCCTAAATCATTACTAGAACAGTCTCCAAAGAGAGACTAAGGGAGTGCCTTATAACCTCAACCAAGAAGTATCCTGCTCACAGTTGGCTTTGCAATTTACAAGGTAATTTAAATTACATTTCTTTACTTTTGCTGATTCCATGGAACTACATTTCTCTGAGAACCGCTATTGACCTGTCAATATTAGCTGCCAGTTGGCAGGGAGGATTCACCTAGATTAGTTGGTTACTTCCTGTTCCTGTCTACAGACTTGGAAAAATGGAGAGAATTTACTTTCCTCCAAAGGTTTCTCAGAACACAGTGGTACAGAATGTTCAGAAGTAGGAAAATTCCTTTAAAAGCTATGTCTGCTTGCCCTCAGATAAACATTTCCATTAATATTTCATCTCATTTTGAGCGTCTTTCCAGTTTGTAGTATTTTTTCAATGTATGTAGGTGGCCCAAAACCATATGTTAAAAGCATTTTTCCAAAAGCATTCAATTTTGTCTTACTATAAACTGTTTTTCTTATTTCCCTGTCATTGAGCAGCAGCTTCTCAAAATGGACTAAAAACCCTTTTCCTAGTTTTTTTTATTTCTCTCTGATTATGCTGATGTCTTTATCCTTTTGAGAGCTCATACATGTTTTTCTAACACATTTAAGAATTGACTATCCTTCACTCTCCGTCTTACTATTTTTAGATATTGAATGTTCCAAAAGTCATCGCTCTGTACACATACACAAGAAGCAATCTCCTGCTCGCAGTGATTTTACTGTCTTAGTCTACTTAAAAATGCTTAATTTTACAAGTTATTGTGCACATTAAAAGATACTTTGAAGTGATTTTTAATTCCATATGTTATTGTTGTTGTTATGTGCCATCGAGTCACTTGTGACTCATAGTGATCCTGTGTACAACAGCTCTGAAACTTGCTCTATCCTCACCGTCTCTGACACACCTACCACCATAACCCTAGTCAGTGAATCAATCCATCTCATTGATGGCACCCTCTCTTTCTCCATCACTCCACCCTTCCAAGCATGATGTCCCTCCCTGTCCATGGACGGTCCGTCCTTACAACATGGCCAAAGTATAGCAGAAGAAGCCTCATAATCTCTGCTTCCAAGGAGCAGCCTGGATTCATCCTCTCCAGGACAAACCTGCTTGTTCTCCTGGCAGTCCATGGTATAGTCAACACTCTTCACCAACTCCACAGCTCAAAGGCATCAAGTCTCCTTCTGTCATTCCCTAGTCATTGTCCAGCTCTCTGATGCATAGCAAGCAATTGCAAAGAGCTTTGGGTGAGGATTCATAAATGGAAAAGTAGAATCTCTTATTTTTAGGATATAGTTTTATTCTGCCTATTGTTGTTATGTTCCATTAAGTTGACTACGACTTAAAGTGACCCTATGAACAATAGCCCTGAACTCTGCCCAGTCTCACCATCTCTGACACACTTGCTCCCATTGTCAGTCACTGTGTCAATCCATCTCATCTGCTATGTTCTTCTACTGTGCTGACCCTCTCCCTTTCCAAGCATGATGTCCTTTTCCATGGACAGGACATGATGTCCTTTTTCCATGTTGCCTCCTGGTAGCATGTCTGAAGAATGTGAAACGGAGTTTCAAAATCTTTGCCTCCAAGAAGCAATCTGGTTTCACATCCCCAGGACAAACCTGTTTGTTCTCTTAGCAGTCCATGGTGTGTTCAGTACTTTCATCCAGCACTACTCAAAGGCATCAATTCTTCTTTTGTTACCCTTCGTCTACTAAATTTTATTTCTTTCCTTTCCATTCATCTGCCATAAAAACCATGGGCTTGCCACATAGCATATCCTTTCATCTTTATCATAGATACGTCTCCACAATACTGTCTTTCATCCCAACAAATGAACACTGCATCGGACAGGCAAAGGAAAAGGAGAGTGCAGGTGATTCTGCATCTGCTTTACCTCTTATGAGTTCTTGAGAACACATGTTTAAAATTGAGAACAGTACTTAAAATTCCTAGAAAGTAAAATCTGGATGAAACTTCTCAGACTATTTAATGCCCCTTTAATGTACTCCATGCCCTTGCTTAGAGTTCCTTTTTCTCCCCAGTCAACTTGGCCAGATGCAAAATACAATTTATCTTCTAGCACCCTACCTGCAGTCCTTGAAAAAAGACATTATGATGGAAAAGGAGAAGAGTCAGAGAAAGGAAAGGAAGAGCTCATGAAGACGGGTTGGCCCAGTGACTCTAGTAATGGGCTCGATCATATGAGGGATGGTGAGGATGGAGCACGATAGGGCAGGGTTCAGAGCAATTGTTTATAGGGTCACTAGGAGTTGTGGTCAACTAGACAATGCCAAAGCAACAAGTATTTGAATGCCCTGCAACTTATGTCATAATATAATGTGTTTTTGTTCATTTTCTGTTTACCTTTTAATATTTAATTTATTGCTTGAGCAGATGCATTTTTAATAAGAAAGATTTATATATACATTTTAGTGAGTTAAATAAGAGAATTGACGATAATGTCCTTTTAAAATTATTTCATTTATGGTGTTTTTGTTAACAAATCATTTGGCTCACGATTTTAGGAAGAAAATAAATGACTTCATTTGTTTTGTTGAGAAGACATCATGGTATTTTAAAGATACGTTATTTAATATGTTTTATAGTGTGATTCATTTTCTTCTGAAGCTGCCAAAAGATCTGCCTTACATAGAGATACTTTTTATAGATGCTGTTAGGAGAGGATTGATCTCTTACTGTTCATAAAAGCTGTTGCTGATGTTGAACAAAACTAGAAAGTGAAAAAAATGGAGAGATTAAATTAATCCTTAAAGATAATATGTGCCCCTTATGGCACTATTATTTGTATGAGTAATGAAAAAATAGTGAGAAAGTAATCTCATCTAATTCTTCCTAATCAACTCTTGTTGTGTACTGTCAAGTCAGAACTGGCAGGTAATCAGAGGCAGTTAATTGCAAGGGAGGAGACTGCCCATTCTTCTCCCACAGAGTAGCTGGTGGATTTGAACCATGTGCATTTGGGATTGCAATGCAAGACAGCTATTACAGAAAATTTCCCTACTGGAGCATTAGAATAATGCCTCAAGTTATTTGATGTAGAGAACAGAAAGCTTTTCCTTCCTCATTTGCTTTTTATTTTAGTACCTTTGCTATAGATTATCCAGGACTTGAATACTGATGTTGATAATTTACTTGGTGTTGTTTTTACGTCATCTTTTTCAGCGAAACTGGGCATTTAGGTCTTGAAAGAATACACCTCTTAGTATTGCTTGTTGGTTTGTGTTTACTCAAGGCATTGAGTTAATCCGTCTCTTCCTGGCTCTTCCTCTCCTGTGCTGTCCCTCCACCCTTCCCAGCATGATGTCCCTCTCCAAGGACTCGTCCTACTATACCAATAATATGATACCAATAATATTAGAAGGCACCTGTCCCAACTCTAAAACATTTACTTATATACTTATTTTACAAAAAAGTCTACAGTGTTTACATTACTTCAGAAGAAGTCTACACTTTATCATTCGACAGTGATTTGCTGCAGAATTTAAATATCCTACTATATTGAACTATTTAAAACTACATTACCTACTTGGTGCCATTTTATTATAATCTGCACTTTTAATGTTTGATATTTAACAGATTATTTTACTAAACAAGTATTTTACTGATGGTGCAATTAATGCTGCCTTTCAAAAATCTAGTGGAGTAATTCTTCTCTGTCCTTATTATAGGGCCACTATGAGTTCTGGTGGCCTACTGGTAAGAAACTGTGCTGCAATTCCAAAGACATGCAATTTGAATCCATTAGCTGCTTCACAGGAGAAGAATGAACAATCTTCTACTATGCAATTTACTCCCATGCCATGCTGCCTCTAAACACCCTCTGGAGAATCAGCTGTGAATCAGTTCCAACTCGATGGTACATAACAATAGCAACACGAGTTAATAGAAGGAGACCTGGTGATCTAGGGGTAATGAGTTGTACTGCTAACCCAAAGGCAGGCCGTTTGAATCCACTAGCTACTACGTGAGAGAAATACGGCCAGTCTCCTCCTGTATGTTTTGCAGTCTTGGAACAGCTGCTGAAGTGTCGGCTATTGGTTGGTTCCCATCATTGCTAATTATGATCCTGCTCTGAGACTCTTCAGCATCTGTCTTTAGTGTTTATATCTCAGGCAGCTATCCACATATATAGAAAGTATCTAATAAGCATTTATTTGAATGGATTTAACCATTTTTTATATCTTCTATTACAGCCCACTGTTTGTAACATGGAAGATTGGTCGAGACAAAAGATTGCGTGGATGCATAGGTACTTTTTCTGCCATGAATTTGCATTCAGGACTCAGGGAGTACACACTTACCAGGTGAACACCAATTTTTGTTGCCTCTGCTTGTACATTAAAAATCTTTATGGAATTTGAAACTGATACTTTAATCTCTTTTGCCTTATTGAATTATTACCTTTTCTATTACTTAATATCAGACTCTTTTTTTTACTGTTTACTTACTCTCTAGTGCAATGTTATTGACATATATTATCATAAGATACTGTGTGATTACATGTATTCTGTGATAGATGTTTTGAAGAGGGGTTCCCCCCACCAATGACTAAATGACTCTTTGTAACTTGAAAATCTTTGGCCAAATGTCCTGTGTTACTGAATATATTGCCTTTTATACTAACAGTCATTATGTGCTTAATAGTGACCATTTAAAAAAATAATTGATGTCTGTTTAATTGTGCACATTTTGTTATATACTTCTGAAATTGAAGGGAGAAAAATCAGGAGAAAGTGGTACCCCAACCTAGCATCGTACTCATTTACACTTCACCTAGAATTAATTGTAGCTTACTGATTTTGTTTCATCACACAGAGACCAATTAATGAATAACTTATAATAGTTGTTAAGATTTAGTTCCTAGTTTCTGAACTCATAAAAACCTATCTCACATGCCATCTGATTGTTTTTGTTCAAGTTTAGATTTCTAGCAAACTATGTTCCAGAATTATTTCAAAAGAAGAAAATGCCTTAAATAATAAGCTATTAGTAAAGGAATTTCCTGTTTTTGTTCATATTTTAGGGTCATTATCTGATACAGTTTCTATAGTTGTAGCATGCAATGTCTGTCCAACAAGAAATTGGTCCCTGCTGACTATTGGGCAACTTGCTTTACCTCTGTGAGTAAAGTAGTAATTACAGTATTTTTTATAGATTTAAAGAAATGTTAGAGGAAAGAAATAATAGCATTAGAGTCATTGCAGTGTATGATGTTCTAATTGTGCAGGCTCAGAACACTAGTTATTAAAATGCTGGTAGTTGAGCTTAATATTTTCTTTTATGGAACTGTACAGTCAGTCATTCCCAGCTACAGAATTTTCTTGCTTATAGTAAAATCTCAAAGGAAAAGTAGTGGTTTGGAAGGTCACTTTCATTCTTAGCTTTTTTTAAAAAAAATTTTATTACTTTCTGTGTGCATGTACCATCAAATTGGATCTGACTGGTACAGGAGGAGATGGCCCCTCCTTCTCTGGCAGAGCATCTGGTGGATTCGAACCGTATATCCCTGGGATTGCATTCTTAGCTTTTTTCCCCCACAGATATTCAACTTGAAGTTTGAACTTTCTTAAATAAAATTAAGACATCAAGGGACTCAAAACGCACATCATAGAAATAGCTTCAACTTGGTAAATAGAGTGTAAGATAAACAGGGGATGTTGGCTTTTGCTTTTGACTTTTCTTTACATCTAATACAATGTCTCATTGTATTATGAAAATTTTTATGCCGTTATTGTTATATTATTATAAATGGCTACTATAATGGTTAATTGTAAATGGCTAATTTTTTAATGTTATAAAATTCTGCCAGTGACAATTCTAAGGGGCGGACTTGTACATATGAAATTACTCCATTAATAACTAAATCAAAACCCATTTACCATAAATTTTCTAAAAAGCTGTATGAGGAACTTTGGTTCTTTGGCATGATATAGGAAAAGGAATCTATGGCCCAATAAATTTGAGAAATGTTTGTTAATCAGATTTAAACTGCATCCTGGACGTGCTCACTACGTGACCAACCTACTGGAAGAAATCTCTATTTGTTTCCATTTCAAGGAAAGACAATACTACATGTTATAAAATCAAGAAATGTGTGTTTCAGAGTTGTATCCTTTCTTTAGACATATTCAATCTATATGTTGATCAGATAATTTAAGAACCTGGGTTATTTGAAAAAGAATGTGGTATCAAGATTGGAGGAGGACTCGTTAGCAACTTATGTTATGCAGATGACACAACCTTCTTTGTAGAAGGTGAAGAAGAGTTAAAACACTTAATGAAGAAGATAAAAGACTATAGCTTTCAATATGGATTACATTTCAGCATCAAAGAAAAGAAAATCCTTACAACTAAACCAGTAGAAAAATTCTCAATAAATGGATAAAAGATTGAAGTAGTCAATCATTTCATTTTACTTGGATCAACCATCAGTACCCATGATAACAGCAGTCAGGAAATCAAAGGACATGTTGCATTAGGGAAATCTTCTGTCACAGACTCTTGAAAATACTAAAATGCAGGGATGTCAGTTTAAAGACTAAAGTGCACCAGATCCAAGCCATGATACTTTCAATTGGTTCTTATACATCTGTCTAAAGAGCAGAAAATAGGACATGGGGGCACAAGGCCATGAACATCTCTCTGAAAGGGCCAGAGGGAGTGATAATAGCACAGCCCCTATTGCCCCAGAGCAGAAAGCAGATAAAGAGCCTGTAGTTCAGTCCCATTGTGCCTCTGGAGCCACAGCAGCAGGAAGAAGTTCATTTTTTTTGTCAGAAAATGCTATGGAACTGAGAATGGGGTTTATTAGGGAAGTAAGTTGGAGAGTGGAGGTGGCAAAATATATCACCCAATACATGTCCAGGTTTTAGCCCAAGTTCCAAGGCACAGTTTCTTATTTAGGCCAGGCTCTGGTTTCAGTTCAGCACTCAAATCTAAATCACCCAGTAAAGTTTGCTTCTGAGCAGTTATAAGCCAACTTCTCCTTCACGCATCTGGCAAGAACAGAAGAAGCCTTTAACTGTGGCCAGGACACAGTTTCTCCACAGAAATGCCACAGTCTTTCCACCACCATCACCAGGGTCTTGCCACCAGAGTCTTACTCTCAACACTCTTGCTCCAGGCTCTCTCAAGTCTTTCCTGCCACAAATCTAGCACCTCAGTGTGGGAAGCACCCTTTCTCTTATCTTAGTCCCACAGTTTTGATGATTTGCAAGACCATGCTGATTTGCAAGACCATGTGCCTGCGATTAAGGTAGCTGGAGACTAGATGGGGCTAACTGTAATGGCTTTTTTAAAAAAAGCCAACTTTTAGGCTAACATCACAACATCTGAAAGTTAGACAATGAATAAGAAGAAAATCAGGACCTTTAAAAATGGGGTATTAGGTAGCCAAAAACCAAACAAATCTGTCTCGAAGGAAGTGTATCCAGAGTGCTCTTTGGAGGCAAGGATGTTGAAATTTTGTCTCACACACTATGGGCATGGCATCAGGAGTTGCCAGTCCTTTTTCCTTGGAAAAAGACATCATGCTGGGGAATATAGAGGATCAGCAAAAGAGAGGAGAACCCGGAGCAAAGTGGATTGACACAGTGACAGCAAGAATAGGTTTGAACATGGCAGAGATCATGACGATGGCACAGGTTAGGGCAAAGTTCAGATTTTCATAGAGTTACTATGAGTTTTAGACAACTTAGAGGCACCTAACAACAATAACTACTTCAATGTAGCACTTCTCAGGTTCTATTATGTTAATGTTATTGTTATGTGCCAATATATGTGCTGACTCTCAAGGTATTTTAGAGTCTGCAAGGATTCTGAGGCTCTGTCTAACTTACTTTGGACATGTAGTGAGGAGAGAC